GTGTTTGTGCCAATAGCAAAGGAATGCCAATGGTTACAATAAACGCAACCCACGAAGTCTACATTTCTTTCTCGTTGTTTTGAAAAGTTGTTCTATGTAAACCTTCTGCTGTTTAGAGATTGCTGGTTTCTCATTCTTCTTCTGCCCATAAGCAGCTGCCAATCCATTCACTGACTGTTACAAGTGGATGGTGGGAAGACAAGACAAAGTGTTACAGAAGTATAAGTTGCTTTTTTAATAGAACAGTTAGGTAATGGTTTAAGAAGTACAATCAGTTCAACAGCTTTTGTTCACAGATACCTAAAGTGTGTTAACCTCATGTAATCATCAGCTCAGGAAGAAATAGTCCAAACTTTACTCTGAAACTTTCATCTGTTTGGCACTTTATTGTGCTACTCAAAGTTTTTAGGACATTGTACAAGATTGCAAATCTTCTTTCCCCCCATCCCTTTTTATTTTTTGTTGCTGTTGTGTAGCATATGGTTTTGATAAACAGTCTCAATTATTTTGCAAATATTGGAGGGGTTTTGGAGTCACTTATTTGAGAATGAGGAAGATAGTTTTGCATTTGCATAAACCTTATAAAACTTAACTAGCTATATTTTATTCAAATTGAAATAGCTTTACAGCACTGTAAGAAGACTTATTACTAGAAGCCAACAGATGCTGCTTTGGGCAATGAAAAGAATGAGAGGGGGTGTTTGAAAGTTTGTGAGACTTGGAAAATCTTGTATAAAAATGGCAGTCAGTTTTGTTAACTGTGTGTGTGTGTGTGTGAAATAACATCATTTAGTGGACAATTGAAAAGTTTTTAACTTTAAAATTTAAGTGTCAAATATTTGGATATCAGTTTAAAAAAAAACAACATTCTGTATCTCTCAAGGTTCATCATTGAAGAATATTGGAGAGGCCAAACGTAAAGTGTTTCAAGACTCACCTAAAAGGAGATCAAGATCCAGAAGTAATTGAAATTTGTGTTGTGTGCAAATAGTTCATCATTATAAGTAGCTACTGAGTGTATTTTTTTATGTAATCGCCCACATATCATAATCTCTCTATTTTATCTCAGATGTTGTCTTCCTTGGCTTTAGAATTTTAATGGATCCCAAATTAAATATCTAAACACTGTAATGCTGAATTTTGTTCACCTTCCTCAGTGTCATATTGCAAGAAATGTAATTGAAATTGTACCTGTACCAGGTGTTTTTAGTACATATATTGTGTACATTTATAGTTATCTACAGATGAAAATATGTCAGTTCAATCATTCCCCTACACAAATCCTCTTATCTTAAACTTGGAAGAATATTGTCGGATTTCTTTTGCTGGCTTTTTGTAAGTAGCAGGTTCTCCTGGAGCCATTTAAGTCTGCTTTGTGTATTCAGAGTCTGATAATAGAGTATGTCCTAGTTTGTTTAGGTAAGAATATGATTTTGAAAATTAACCATATTTTCAAGTTGCTGTATTTTTATTACTTACAGCTAATTTTTTTTCCCACTGGAATAGAGTGCTTGTAGCTGCAGGGAAATTTTCAGTTAATATATTTGTGCCCCTGGACCTTGCAGTCTTCATACTAATACTATTCTAGCTTCATAAACTAGAGAGTACAGGAGAGTGTAGTAATGTTGTGATTTTATCCTGATGAAACAGACCATTTGCTAAACCTTCATCTGTCTTTTTGAGATAGAGTGAGTGCAAACAGCTGAACCTATGGAAGGGGTATTTAGTTTAGTCACTGACCTTTTGTAGTTTAGCAGCTGCTTGAACTTTACAGTGAACAATCATCTAAATACATGACTAAGTATGTTGGTTTAAAATGGCCAACATGATTCTGTTCTTACGATTTTTGTTCACAAAGGAAGGGGATCTTACAGTCTCTTATGAAACAGAAGTAAGCTTGTCAGAGAGAGTCTGGAACTGCCATACCAGAAAGAGAGAATTAATCTGTACAGTGGCAATATCTTGTCTTTTCCAGAGTCCCCTTAATAGATGTTGCCAGATTTTCATCTGTATCATTCGGAGAACTCAAAGGAGACTTAAAGAGGAGACTTAAAAATTCATTTCAGTGATAAGACACTGTTAGAAAGTGTCAGGAGAGTTAAAAGCTGTGTAGATCAATCATGTGCAGTCTGGTGATATGAAACAAATGTTGGGCAGTAGTATACAGATTTTTAACTAGTGCTTATCCAGGTAGACTCATCTTTCTAAAATGAGTATGAAGCAGTTGATTTGGATGTGTTCTAAAGTTAGTCTTCAGCCAGAAACCAGACCTTAAGCATTAAGAGGTCATCAAACTGTGTTAATGTTTAACAATGTTTTAAAACTAATGACTGAAAGAAAAGTAACTTAAATAATTAGATCAGTTCAAAATAATTTGCAAGTGGGTTTTAGATTATTTTTCATGTAAGTTTCCCCCATCCCCCATCCCAAGGTAACTTACATGGAAATAAAAGAAACCAAAAAAAGAGGACAAAGGAACCTACAGAAGATTTTGAAGTTCAGGAGGCACCTAGGAAAAGACTCAGGATGGATAAACAGAATAATCGGAAGGTAATTATGTCATTGGTTTGTTTGGGTTGGTTTATAGCAGCACCAGTCACATTGCTGTAGTTAAGTTTGTCAGCATTTCTGTTTTCAGGATTTAAAAAGTAATGTCTGTATATCAAACCAAACCGTTGTAAATATTCCGAGATACATGTGAGCTCATCGCTCTGGGGTTGTTGGTTGGTTTTGGTTTTTTTCTTGGGTTTTGAGTCCAGAGATATGGCAAGTCGCACTTCCTACTTAAAATGTGGTGAAAATGTATGCTGAGGAAGTTTGTTTCCCAGAGGAATGTGCAGAGGCATGACTTTTCTGTGTTGTCATGCTTTGTAGTTCTTTTTCTTTCCTCCTGAATTGGAGTTCAGAGATGTATGTGGGAACATAAACCAAGTACCTTTAATCAGTATTTAATTTGGACAAAAGTGGGGGGAAGAAATGAAAGAAAGTAAAGCCAAACAGAAAAACCTTCTCAAGAACTGGAAGCCTGTAGAACATGAATGGCATGCTGACCCATGTCAGAAGTTAGGAAACTGCAGTAAATATTACAGTGTATTTATTGCACAAATCACAGGATAGTTTTCAGTTTAGCTTGCTTGAAAAAGCTTCCTTACATAGGTCACTAAAACTGTTTTTATGGATACAGCCCAAATCCTGTTGAGACTTAAACATAGGTTTATTTAGTCATGCATGTAGATGAGTGACCTTCATGCATTTTACTTGTGTGGAATGCATAGCTCACAAGTGTTTTCTGATATGTTATTACAGTATCATACTGTAGTGTGAGTATCACAGACTTCATCTCAACTTCAGTGGTACAGCAATCAAATGAAACAACCTAATATAAGGAAAGGCAGTGGATTTATTTTTGAAATTACAGAGGTCACATTTATAGATGTCAGTTTGTTTGGTAGGCTGATTATTTAATATCTCTGTTGATGCAGTGCATATTCAGACAACTTCTTTAGACTTCAATACAAAAAATAGAGAATTTCAGATAGCTAGGCTTAATGAACTTATTAGCAAGCAACAGAAATAATTCTTAGAGAAATGTTGTGACATTTGCAGAAAGAATGGCCAAAACTGATTTTTTGCACTTCTTGCTCTAATGGGTTAGTTGTTAAATATTTGTTTTATATTTTAGGAGAAGGTTTTAAACACTTTTTAAACTTGTCTAATTTATTTTAATTCACTATATACTACATCCACAGAATGATGAAGCTTACTTATTCAAATTAATTCCTACTATGAAGTCCTTGGTTTGACTGTCCCCTGAAGTTACTTTTTTACTATCCCACCAGCATTCGTATACTACATTTAGCCTAGATTATCACAAGTAGAATGAAAGGTTGTTGCAGCATAGTTCATGCAGAGGAAGTTCTGGTATCTTTGATGCTGTGATGCAGATGTGAATATTAACAGGAAAATAAATAAATTAGACTAATAATTCTTATAAGATACCTCTAATGACACTGTCTTTGTGATGTGCATTTAAAAAGTGGTGTCCTCTATCTGATCCATTTTATCACTACTAGTTAGAAGGAATCTAGTGTGTGTAAATACTAGGTAATTTGGAAACTCTAAATGCATACAGCAGTGTTTGTGCTTCTGCCCACAGAAGCATCAGAGATAATGTAGAATGGTTGCTTTGTGGCTTTCTTTCATGAGTTATCTCTTGGACTTCTTGTCTTTGCCAGCCCAGGTTACCTCTAGCTGTATGTGCTGCTGCTTGGTAAAGCATTTAGTGAATGACAGTGAAAATGTCTATGTAATAATGATTGAAAAAAGCACTAACCATACACCTTCCTCTGTTCCCAGTTTACCGCAGGCTTTTGTTACAATCATTTTGGATAGGAGGAGCTTTAATGACTCTTTTTCACTATGTTTCACTTCTTGCATGAAGTTGTTGAAGGTTGTGCATTCCTCTCCTCTTTGTCCTTAATTCTTTGTGAAATCTAAATGTTTCACACTAAGTAGCTAAAACTCAAGTACCCCTATGGAAGTTTTGAAAATTTGTAGTGCTTTTGATAATTTGTTGGTGCTTTCATGTTATACATAAAATTCATATTAACAAAATGAACTGAACTGTACATTTGAAGTGTACATTACATTTTTTACACAGAAGTGTAACGATAGTCTTACAGAACTTGTATTGGGAGCCTCCAATGGCATCTGGTAGGGTGTCTTAGTCTATAAGTCAGTAAAAGCACAGTTTAGCAGACCTGTATTATGGCAGCCATTCATATTTATTTTACAAAGGAAACCTGTCCTCTATCCTCTGAGGTGTTCACCTGCACATCTTTTCTAAAACTGAATGTCAGATGAAGAGTATGATAAAGTATGTAAAACCTTATGTTAAGTAGTATTATTTTTACTGATCAGGTGAGCATTTGTCAGGGTTAAGCATTCTTGGCTACAGTTTTAGTGACATTACTTGAATTAGTTTGTACCATACAAAATAGAAAAAAACCAACAAAACAAACAACAGTGGCATGTGTAAGGAACAGTGTCTAATTTTGAGCAAAACTTCCCCAGTTTTCAGCCTTAACTTTTTCTGATAAATTCTCGTTATGGAGCAAATTTATGTGTTGTTTATGCTCCCTAGAAAATAGTGGTTTTATTTTGGAAATGCTGAAACATTCTTAACCATAGTAATTTACAAAATGGCACTGCTGTTAGTTGTGGAGTTGAAAAAAAGTCTCTCTCTGCACAGGTTTTATTCTAAAATTTATATAATAGTTCTGCAGTTCACTTTTAATAATGAAGGGTTTTAATTGGACCAGTTTAGAAAAAGAATAGTAAGGATACTTACATGTTTCTTGTTCATTTAAAGCTCCCCTTTTTGATATGCTGAGTTTGGGATGGATAAGTGGGATGCTGGAATACTGTGTTCTTTAATTTTTCTTATTTGTGTATGGGTTTGTACCCTGTGCTGTAAATGAAACTCATTTAAAATCACTTAAATGGGGCTAGCTTAACTACATTATCATTCAGATATTTGTAAATACACTTTCTTTTTGATAACATAAATCCAGAAGTAATTTGCCAGTTTTATCCAACCACTCATAAATTAGGAGGTTTTTTATTTTTTTCGTATTTTTTTTTGTGACAGAGGGAGACAAGCAATGACAAAACAGCAAAAACAAACTCTTCTAAGGTCACAGAAACCTCCTCTTCACAAAAGAACCAGTCAGGTAATGTGGTCAGAATAAGTTTTAATGTAACTTTTTCAATTAAATAATTTTAAAATAACCAGGTTTTCTGAGGCAGCCAGCTAAATTTCACTGATGCAATAACCCGTGACAGCTGCTATGGCAGGGGTGGGGGGGAGTGTGTCCTCTTCCTTCACTACCACCATTTTGCAACTTTACACTTGAAGTTGTGCCTTGCTGATTTAGATCAGCAGTTCACAAGTTCACCATTTGATGGCACCAAATTAAAGCTATTGCCCTTTGGTCTTGGCGAGCAGTGATACCAGTCCTACTGAGCCAATTTGTCATTGTGCATTAGCCCAATAAAACCAGTGCAGTGACCATCAGTGCAATCAGTTACTGTGGGATTTTAGTCCTCTTAAATGATGCTTGATGGGAGGCAGTGTGGAGAACAAGAGGGAATTCTGAATACCCTTGGACCAAAATTCAAAAGTCAAGCTTGTTAATGATGCTCAAGTTTAAGGTAACTTCTGTAAGAGCATGTCTCTGTAGGTATCGTAATGATATGACAGAGATGAATGAGCACCAGCAAGTTCTGTGCTATGTAGAAGGGGTGATGTGCCATAGATCATGTCTGGTACCTGGCTCCTGTACTTAACCTTTCTCTCAACAAAGTGTTAGTGGTACTCAGATTGTGGTGAGGTCACGTAGGCCTTCTAATGTTTATCTGAGGAGATAACTGTTACCTTTGCTTTAAGGAGATCATAAGTCACAAGGTATTTGTGACTTACATTTGTGATGTGCTGGAAAAAATTGGGGAAAATTTCTTAGCCATTTGTAGTACGTGTTTGATTAATAGCAAACTCAGTATTTTTCAATTTACCCAAAACGTGGTTTCAGAAACTTACTGTGCCTTCTCTCAGCTGCGTAGGTGCCCAGAAGACATACCTAAATCTTTCCTTCCTTCATCTGAAGGAATATTTTAAATGGCTTCAGGGAGATAACGTTTTAAAGTTCCAAACTTCACTTTGTAAACCAAAATTATTTTACAGCAACGAAAAATCTGTCTGATGCATGTAAACCTCTGAAGAAGCGAAATCGGGCTTCAGCAGCAGAATCTTCAACTCTTGCTTTTAGCAAGAGTTCATCTCCTTCAGCTTCCTTAACTGAGAATGAGGTAAAAAAAAAGTGGTATTTGCACACAGCCATTTAATTACAGAAATTTTCAGGTGTGAATCTTGTTTAAAAAAAAACAAAAAACAAACAAAAATCAAAGGCAAATTCTCTGACCTTGGTGCTCTAGACAAGTTACAGTTTTGGCCTCTGTGAAACCTGTTAATGTGTGCATTGCAAATTCATTTATTGTAATACGAACGTCTGATTTGGGGACGTCGTGATATTATTGTGGTTTTTAATGTATTTACCAACAAAGTTTTAGAATTGTAACCTTCTATTAGAGGCAATGCCAGTGTGTTCTGTATTTTCTTCTACAGACTTTATGTAAGTGTACTACATTAGTTACATTATGTAACTCAATATCATCATGTTGCCACAGCTTTTATATTGAAGCAAGTTTCTTAATCCTCTGTTTGATATAGAACTGGACAGTTTTCTGAGCAGAGCCCCTTTGAGCTCAAAATAGTTTTCAGGCTGTTTAAGTGCTATTTCTCTGTGATGCAAATAGCTTCATCCTCAGTAGAGTTAAACAGGCAGTGAAGGATGTATCTTTTTGATACTTACTAATCATAGTCTTAGCTCTGCATATTTGGAACTGCAATTCTTCTCAATTGACATACAGTAAATAAAGTGTATGTACCAGAAGTGTATCCGTAGAATCCATTAAACCATTCCCTAAGACATCTATGCTATTAAAACAAATCAGCCAAAGAGTGGCAGCATGAGGGAGAGAGAGGTATGCCTGCTGTTCTGCAGGTGGATTCAGAAATGTAGTTGGTAGGATTTAGTAAAATATCCATAGACAAACAGCTTCAAGCAGTTTGTGTTACGGAAGCTGTAGAGAAAATACCTGCCTGCTAACAAGCGAGTACGGCTTCCAGCTATCCTAGAGACTTCATCTCCCCTAGCAAACACATGACATGCTTAGACACAGTAAAGAATGCAGTTAAAATATCTAGGCAATGCTCAGTAAATGGTGGGGGGAGAAAAAGATGGCATGGGAATGGCTGTATTAACTTACCATAACTGGAAAAATATTCCAACAAAAAGCCCAACAAATTCTCCCTCTTCTATCCCAATAAAACAAGCAAAGAAAGTCCCACAGGTAATAGCATCCATAGCAGCAGTCAAGTAAATAATAACTTGTTCTCATCTTGCTCTCTCAGTCAAGAGACTCCCACATCTTGGCTTACCAGCTTCTGCTGGGTTGGCTTTACTGCTGGGACTTACGGTGTAATGGCTGGTTGTGTTTGGGACCAGCTATTCAGCCAGAACAGTTTAAGTAACATACTGTCTTTTTGGGTCTAAACATGCATCTGTAACTATTGTCATCTCAAGAGAAAGATTCTTGTATTTCTAGATACTGTGTCTATAACATGAAATCTCCACAGATCTTTCTCGACAAAATACTCATTTTTGTAGGATTTTGGGTTGTGGCTTAGCAGTTCACATGTTAAAAAAAAGGATATGGTTATATAGGCATAGATAGAAATTTGAAAACTTAGCTCTTACTTTACTCAGCTAGTGCTGAATAGAAGAAGATGTGAGAAAAATGAACATCACACACTGCTCACAGAACAGATCACAAACCATCAAGTGAATTAATTTGTTTTCATGAGTTTAAAAGGTTTTAAAATATCAAAACCATCCCAATCAATATAACAGCAAATACATCCTGTCAAATTACAGAGATTTTGCAGGGCTGAGTGCAGGGAGGGAATAGGTTAGTGGGTTAGATCATTAGCTGTTTTAAAGCTACACTGACCCGGACTTGTGCCGACTAAGGATTGGAGCCAATTTGTTTCCTGTTATATTAGATAGGTATTTGCCTTTAAATAAAACAAAAATATAAGGTGTGTTTCTGAACTTACTATTGATCTAATCTACAAAACAAGGAAAGCTGTAAATTTTGGTTTGTGTGAGTGGCTTTCAAAACTTTTTTTCCCTTTTGTATTATTATTTAGCACTTGTCGTATTTGCACACAGCCATTTAATTACAGAAATTTTCAGGTGTGAATCTTGTTTAAAAAAAAAAAAAAAACAAACAAAAATCAAAGGCAAATTCTCTGACCTTGGTGCTCTAGACAAGTTACAGTTTTGGCCTCTGTGAAACCTGTTAATGTGTGCATTGCAAATTCATTTATTGTAATACGAACGTCTGATTTGGGGACGTCGTGATATTATTGTGGTTTTTAATGTATTTACCAACAAAGTTTTAGAATTGTAACCTTCTATTAGAGGCAATGCCAGTGTGTTCTGTATTTTCTTCTACAGACTTTATGTAAGTGTACTACATTAGTTACATTATGTAACTCAATATCATCATGTTGCCACAGCTTTTATATTGAAGCAAGTTTCTTAATCCTCTGATATAGAACTGGACAGTTTTCTGAGCAGAGCCCCTTTGAGCTCAAAATAGTTTTCAGGCTGTTTAAGTGCTATTTCTCTGTGATGCAAATAGCTTCATCCTCAGTAGAGTTAAACAGGCAGTGAAGGATGTATCTTTTTGATACTTACTAATCATAGTCTTAGCTCTGCATATTTGGAACTGCAATTCTTCTCAATTGACATACAGTAAATAAAGTGTATGTACCAGAAGTGTATCCGTAGAATCCATTAAACCATTCCCTAAGACATCTATGCTATTAAAACAAATCAGCCAAAGAGTGGCAGCATGAGGGAGAGAGAGGTATGCCTGCTGTTCTGCAGGTGGATTCAGAAATGTAGTTGGTAGGATTTAGTAAAATATCCATAGACAAACAGCTTCAAGCAGTTTGTGTTACGGAAGCTGTAGAGAAAATACCTGCCTGCTAACAAGCGAGTACGGCTTCCAGCTATCCTAGAGACTTCATCTCCCCTAGCAAACACATGACATGCTTAGACACAGTAAAGAATGCAGTTAAAATATCTAGGCAATGCTCAGTAAATGGTGGGGGGAGAAAAAGATGGCATGGGAATGGCTGTATTAACTTACCATAACTGGAAAAATATTCCAACAAAAAGCCCAACAAATTCTCCCTCTTCTATCCCAATAAAACAAGCAAAGAAAGTCCCACAGGTAATAGCATCCATAGCAGCAGTCAAGTAAATAATAACTTGTTCTCATCTTGCTCTCTCAGTCAAGAGACTCCCACATCTTGGCTTACCAGCTTCTGCTGGGTTGGCTTTACTGCTGGGACTTACGGTGTAATGGCTGGTTGTGTTTGGGACCAGCTATTCAGCCAGAACAGTTTAAGTAACATACTGTCTTTTTGGGTCTAAACATGCATCTGTAACTATTGTCATCTCAAGAGAAAGATTCTTGTATTTCTAGATACTGTGTCTATAACATGAAATCTCCACAGATCTTTCTCGACAAAATACTCATTTTTGTAGGATTTTGGGTTGTGGCTTAGCAGTTCACATGTTAAAAAAAAGGATATGGTTATATAGGCATAGATAGAAATTTGAAAACTTAGCTCTTACTTTACTCAGCTAGTGCTGAATAGAAGAAGATGTGAGAAAAATGAACATCACACACTGCTCACAGAACAGATCACAAACCATCAAGTGAATTAATTTGTTTTCATGAGTTTAAAAGGTTTTAAAATATCAAAACCATCCCAATCAATATAACAGCAAATACATCCTGTCAAATTACAGAGATTTTGCAGGGCTGAGTGCAGGGAGGGAATAGGTTAGTGGGTTAGATCATTAGCTGTTTTAAAGCTACACTGACCCGGACTTGTGCCGACTAAGGATTGGAGCCAATTTGTTTCCTGTTATATTAGATAGGTATTTGCCTTTAAATAAAACAAAAATATAAGGTGTGTTTCTGAACTTACTATTGATCTAATCTACAAAACAAGGAAAGCTGTAAATTTTGGTTTGTGTGAGTGGCTTTCAAAACTTTTTTTCCCTTTTGTATTATTATTTAGCACTTGTCTAAATGGCTAAACGTGGGTGTGCCCTGAGAGCATTCATCCAGAGAAAAACCTCCAGAGTGTAAAGGCAAAGAGTTTAAAAAAGAAACACAATCATGCAATGATGAGAGCCTTGCACAGCTAATTGAATAGGATGTAATTCTTCTCAACGTGAAATACAATTACTGATTAACTTTTATATTTCTGTATTCACTATAATACTTCTAAATGTTGGCTTAGATGCTATTTTAACAAAGACAGAAAAAAATCTGCATATTCCACAAGCACATACACTTCCACAAGCAATACTAGGTGGATTCTGGCCTTTTTTCTTCTCCCTTCTTTCCCTCTAAGCTGTTTGTGGACAGCTGGTTCCAGAGTGGAACCTGGATTTGACTGTTATTTGTCAAGGACTGTTGCTACTAGCTTCACACCTCATAAATCTCAGTTCATTGCAACTAAGTTCTAGGAAAGGTATGTTCAATAGGAAGGATGTGCTCCTTTTTTTCTTGGTTGGCAGATGCATTTTATTTGACATTTAAAAAAAAAATATTTTTTATGCCTTTTGTTGTTTTGGGGATATTTTTAAAAGGGGTTTACTTGAAATATAAAATCAGTCAAGGCCACATTTTTGAACTGTAAGTTACTTTGGGGTAAGACAGGGGTGGGGGTGTGGACTTCTGCCTTAAGAACAAGTGAAAATTTATAGACCTGATGTATCAGAGATGAAAAGGTAGGCTATCACTCCCTTAAAAAGATTGGGCTTTTAATTTGTTTTAGGATGGATGGACAGAAGCAGTAAGATGTTTATACATGAATAAATAAATTTCATACCTGCTTTTAATGTTGAAACCAAATACTTAATTTTATTTCTAGGCACTTGA